TAGCAAATACTGCTCAGTTTTTCTACAAGCGTCACAGCAACGATGGTCTGCAGACTCATTATCGGGTGCAGGCAAGTTATTTTTCATCACGATATTTCAGATCCCTTTCTTCCTTTAGAGTGGGCAAACAGAGTCTCACCTGGTACAAGGTATGAAATGACCTGCCCCAGCCTGGAAAGACATCTATCCCCAGAAAATCACTTTGTTCTGCAAGTTCAGTTCTTAGGTCATGGTTTTGCTTTACTCTTTTTGACCTGGAAGATGTATTGCTGTTGTTCAGCTGTTAAGTCATGTCCAACTCTTTGTAACCCCCATGGACTGCAGCACACCAGGCTTCCCTGTCCTTCTCTATCTCCCAGAGTCTGCTCAAACTCATGTTCATTGAGTCAGTGATACCATTCAACTGTCTCATCCTCTGTCGCCCCCTTCTTCTCCTTCCCTCAATCTTTCCCAGAATCAGAGTCTTATCCAATGATTCGGCTCTTCACATCAGGTGGCCAAAGTACTGGAGCTTCAGTTGAAATTTAAATGCCTCCCAGCCAGACAGAAGGTGCATTTTGAGGGTATTGATTTGGGCATGAGCTTTCAGACATGGGAAAAGTTCTCACCCCAATCAGCTCTTGTTCTTCTAGCTTTCCTGTTGCTCCATCCATCATCTCTTCATTCATGCTCAGCCTTTGGGAACGACTTCAGTTAGAGTTACAAGCATAGAGAACTCCCCCCCAAAAAGGCTCACACAAAAGAACAGAAAACTCAAAGTTTGGAAACCATAACTGTGACCTGCAGTATGTCTAAAGTGGGTCGTAATTCTTCCTGTTTCTTTTTTATAGGAAGGTCTTTAAAGTGTCCACATTTATCAAATCATGTTTCCTTCAGATATTTCCAACCATTTTTTTGGAAACAATTGCTCACCTGATGAATTTCCTGTCCTATCTTCACAACCCTTCTCGGCCACCCCTCCTCTCTGCTCCCAGGACAACGCCCTGCATGCCAGCTTTATGCTTTCTGCCAACATCTCTCATTGCACATACAGCATACTACATTAAAAATAGTACTGGGCCTGGCTGTCACACACTAGACCATGAGGTTTCTGAGGGTACAATTTGATTCTTTGTTTTCACTTTGGGAAAATCTAGCAACTAAACCCATATCTGACACTTGCTAAGAGCTCAAGGTTATTTCCCTGGTGGCTCAGTGGTAAAGAATCCGCCTGTCAATGCAGGAGACGTGGGTTCAGTCCCTGGGTCAGGAAGATCCCCTGGAAAAGGAAATGGCAACCCACTTCAGTATTCTTGCCTGGGATATCCCATAGACAAAGGAGCCTGGCAGGATACAGTCCATGGGGTCACAAAAGAGTCAGATACCACTTAGCAACTAAACAGCAACAACAAGATTATTTGCAACAACCTCATTTATTTGTGGAATGGATTGTGGAAGTAACAATTCTTTCATAGGGTCTAATTCAAAGTTTACAAATGAAATTCAGGAGAAAGGTTAAAATAGTGTGACAGTGTATTACGCCCAAATTAGGAAAACAGAGACCACTCACCCATCTAACATGTTTGTTCTGCAAGCAGCCTCAGTAAAACCCCGGCAGATCTCTCTCTTTATGTATGCCATCTCATCTTCAGTCTCCTCTTTACCTCCAAATACTTTTTCATTGTTTTCTCATTCGCTGTAAATTTCAAAAAAACATGAGAATTTTTTTTTTTTTTGAAGAAAAGACGTGATATTGCTGAGAATTTTACTCTCATTGAATCTCTTGTCACTTGGAGAAAACTTTCCACAACATTGGTCCAAATATCAAGTCCTTTAATCTGCCTTTTTTCTCCTGTCCAAGTTCACCACAGTAGAGCTACATGGTACCATAAAGTACTACTTGTATTTCTAATGATATTAGCAGTTCAAGCTTTGCAAAGCTCATTTATGCATTATCTCATTTGACCCTCATATCAACTCTGTAAAAGAAGTCCAAGTTTACAAGTGAGTAAGTGGAGACTCAGAAAGCCTTAATGACCCTTCAAGATCGTGAGTTAATCCATAGCAGTCACGACTTAAACTCAAGCCCTCTGCTAACAAACCTGTTCTAACTATGCTTCCAATTACAACCATCATCCTTTTACATCATATTCACTGGTACCTAGCCACAACCCGGGGTCTTTATAAAGATGACACCGTAGAATTTAAGTACACCTCTTGTTTTCTACATAAACTTGACACTGTCATTGAGAAGGGCAAAAGTCTGGACCCCAGGGGTTGGATCCAGGGACACGAATCCGATATTCTGAACGTGAGGGACATCTCTCTTCCACCTCACTCCGTAAGAGGAGAAGACAGAAGCACCATGGACTTCTTGCCCTTCTGGTGAGAAATTCTATCCATCCTTGAATGAAGCGTATGTCAAAGCAATGTCAAGTTAGGTTCTTCTGGAAGTTGCCTCCATCCTTGCAAGTCAGGATGGCAGACAATCTTCCCTGTTAGGTATCAGCTTTTTCCAGCTCCTCTCCCCCTGGACTGTGCAGACACTCATCCTACCAAAAATACAACTCTCAGATGCCAGTCTCAACAGGCGTGGGTGTGTTTGCTTGGAGCAGATGCTGAACACCATGTGGCAGAGGGAGGAAGACAGAGCTGATCGTGCTCTGGGCATGGTGTTTACTGGGATCTAAACTCACTTCTCAAATCCTCCCCAGTTGGCCCAGGCAGTCTCGTGGCTGCTTTACTCTTCCCTCTGGCTAGAGGAATCTACAAGGGCCCCGGCAGGAGATTTAAGTCAACTCATAGCAGCTTGGCCTACAGGACCTGCAGTTAGGAACTCTTAATTTTTTTTTTAATGCATGCTTTAAATTTTTAAATTTTTATTATTTTTTATTGATGTATAGTTGATTTACAATGCCGTATTGGTTTCAGGTATACAGCAAAGTGAAATATATATATTTTCAGATTCTTTTCCCTTATAGGTTATTACAAAATAGTCTATTGAGTATAGTTCCCTGTGCTATCCAGCAGGTCCTTTTTAGGTATCTGTTTTGTATACAGGAGTGTGTATATTACTTTTCCCTTCCTCACCCCTTTCCCCTTTGGTAACCATAAGTTTGGGCTTCCCAGGTGGTGATAGTGGTAAAGAATCTCGGTGGCCAATACAGGAGACATAAGAAATGCAGTTTCGATCCCTGGGTCAGGAAGATCCCCTGGAGGAGGGCATGGCAACCCACTCCAGTATTCTGATCTGGAGAATCTCACGGACAGAGGAGCCTGGCAGGATACAATCTGTAGGGTCACACAGAGTCAAACACAACTGAAGAGACTTAGCACACATACATGCAATCATAAGTTTAATTTTTATGTCTGTGGGTCTAATTTGTAAATCAGTTCATTTGTATCTTTTTTTTTTTTTTTTAGATTCTGTAAATAAGCAATAGCATATGATATCTGTCTTTCTCTGTCTGACGAACTTCAGTTACTATGATCTCCTCTAGGTGCACTCCTGTTGTTGCAAATAGCATTATTTCATTCTTTTTATGGCTGAGTAATTGTATATATGTACAACTGTGTATATGTACAATGCATTGTGTATATGTACCGCATCTTTATCCAGTCCCCTGTTAATGGACATTTAGTTTGCTCCTATGTCTTGACTATTTTAAGCAGCACTGCTATAAATATAGGGATGCAAGTATCTTTTTGAATTAGAACTACCTTTGGATATATACCCAAGAGTGGGATTTCTGGGTCATATGGTAACTCTTTTAGTTTTTTAAGAACTACGGTGTGGATAAAAAGGGCCCATTCTTTGAGTGAGGTTGTAACAATACTAAATGGAGACTACAGAGTTGCTGACCACTCAGTTATACAATTTTAAAGCATTTCTGAGCACCTGCTATGAGGTAATTACCAAGAGAGGCAATGAGGAGAGATTGACAAAGGTGGCCATTTTTCTCCCTTCAAAAAATAGGTATAAAAATAGAATCCATCATTCATTGAGGGTCTACTAGATGTTTTTCACATATCATCCCAGGCACTTCCCCCACTGATGCTTTAAAGCTGAACATCCTTATCAATATTCTAGAGATGAGAAATCTAAGGTTCAAATAGACCAAGAAATTGGCCCAAGTTAACACAGTTGGTAAGTGCAGAGCTTGGATTCCACCTAAATCTGTCCGGCTCAGAAGCACCCTGGCTTAGACAGAAGTAATGTGCACTATTTGATGGAGAACAAGTCAGCAGGGTCCACTTGATGGGCTTATAAAACCAAGTACTTTCCCATCACATAGGCAAAAAGAACACAGTTCTCACTTCAGGATCCATGAGGGGAAAAATACAAATAGCCAGACAATTGGTTCTGGACCAACAAGAAATTAAATAACTCACAGAGCTGCTAAACTCTAAGCTCTCTAAATTCTCTGGGGTGAGCAGGGAGAGCTGCCTTTCTCTCCCCAGGACTGAGAGCAACAGGAGCTTTGAGGTTATTCTGCGAAAGCCAACTTTGTCTGCAACCTTTTTATATTCCCCATAGTATCTTGCACCAGAGTGGGCAAAAATCAGGTGCTAAATAAATATTTGTATGAAGGAAGAAAGGAACGGGAGAATAGAAAAAGTTATTTATGGAACGGCAAGCAAAAATATCAGAAGGAAAAAAAAACCAACAGTGTAGGTCTAGAGAGTGGTTTATCACCCTTTCTTTAAGAAATTTTCATCAGCAGCTCCAGTTTCCATTACGTTCTCCTCTTCTAAACTGCTTGGAACTTAATGATGCCCGGTTGTCTATTAGCATCGGCTAACTTATGTTTATTTGAGTATTTAATAAATAGTAATTAATTGTCCATAGAGGACCCAATTATGAGTTATCCTTTGATGCAGCTCTCTGCCTGCATCTCCCCAGTTCATATATATGGTGATGAAGGGAAGGAAGCTGGTTTTATTCTGCCCTGTATTCCCTCTGAGCCCTCAGGGCAATATCCCCTTCCTAACAAGGGCTTAATCAACCTTGGCTTAACCAGCACACTTTCTCCTGTGGGCACTCTGTGAAGCCTCCTAAAGACCGAGAGCCCACGAACCAGTGTCCTGCACTCTGGAAACAAATCAGTTGCACCTACACAGATATAGGTGAGGTTCACTGGCCAGGATCTGGCGGTTCTCCTTTAAGGAGCCCTTGAACCTGGAAAGGTAACTACACATAAGAACCTGCCCCACACTTTTCACCCATATGCCTCCAGTCCTTAGGAGGGGGCCCCCGCTGGAGCCCGTTTCCTTTAAGTGAGAGTGAAGTCTGGCTCTGAATGCAACAAGAGTTCCTTGAAGCTTGAAGTGTTCAATTTTACTTCTCCATGCCCCCAGTATAATCCATTGAAAGGGCACTGTCCTTCAGGCCTTTCAGCTGGGCTGACAGCTGCCCGCTGATTAATTGACAGGTTAAAAAGATTGATTCCACATGTCAGAGCTGCAACCCCGCCAGAACAATACAACTGTCACTTGGGCTGTAAAACAGACGCTTACATTAGCAGTCCTGACAGAGCCGCGCTCCGACACACGCACCTGCCTTTATGGAGCGCCTAAACACGCAGCCATGCTGAGATTAATCATCTTGAAAGCAACGTTGGAAGATCAAAGAAATGTTTCCATGATGGAAAGAGTGCAAGCGACACTGCTTTGGCATGCGCTGGGTCTGCAGATGGTGCCCAGTGGGCATGCCAGGAATGACACGAGGGATGGACAAGGTGGGGCTTCAACAGTTGTCTGCGGGCACCGCTGAGCCCCGCTCCCCACGCTCGGGCACTGAGACGTGGGACCCTCCACCCACAACGCCCCGCACACCCATCTCTCCACACAGGGCTGTGCCTCTCCAAAGGCACGCAAGCCAGCAGACCGCGATCATGCCAACCTGTGCGTGGAGTGATTCTTAAAAACTAACTTCAGCGGGCAGGGACCCCAACACAGCAAAGGATTTGAAACCTTGAGCCTCTCAAATGCCAGGAAGGGACTCCAGCATACTGGAGGCAACTCTTCTCCAAGCAGAAAATATCTGGGGATGTGTGGGCCATATCAACATGCCTGGGCTTTTCCGGAGCACTCCAATTCAGTTCAGTTCAGTCACTCAGTCGTGTCCGGCTCTTTGCGACCCCATGGACTGCAGCACGCCAGGCCTCCCTGTCCATCACCAACTCCTGGAGTTTACCCAAACTCATGTCCATTGAGTCGGTGATACCATCCAACCATAAAACGCTTCAGAGAATTTTTATTGCCTTGGAAGAAGCTTCTAAGGAGAAATACTCTGAAGTATTTCTTATACATTTAAAATCTAAATAGCCTGAAATTGTCACTAGATAATTAGGGGAGTCAGGCTTGATGATGCTCAGGAAGAATTCATCAGGAGAATGCTGGGGGATCTGGATTGAAAACACCAAACCAGGGATGTCTCTGGCGGTCTAGTGGTTTAGACTTCACCTTCCAATACCTGGGGTGCGGGTTCAATCCCTGGTCAGGAAGCTGAGATCCCACATGCCAAAAAACCAAAACATCAAAAACAGTAGTAAATATTGTAACAGATTTCATAAAAACTTTAAGGTCCACGTCAAAACAAACACCAAACCAGAACTCTCATTCTTCTTCCCAGAGCCTTAGCCCCATTTCGTCTCTTCCTGTCTCCCTCCAAGTCTACACAGGGCTTCCCAGTGCATGTGAAGGGACTTCTCTCTGGGTAAGGGGCTGACCTTCAGGTCAGCAGGGAGTAATGATGACCCGCTGGTCAGGTGAACATCCTCACCTGGATCCGGTCAGAGTACCTAATCAAGGGTACTAGCACGTCAGCATTTTCCAATCTGGAAATGGCACTTTTGGACTGAGAAAAAGATTCCTAAACAAAAGTTTCAGTGAAAATCCTTCATGCCCCATGGAGAAGTGGACTCCTAAATTAGCTGAACATTATAATCGTCTGGAGGATATTTTAGTTTTTTAAGTGAAGTACGGTTGATTTACAATCTTTTGTCAATTTCCACTGTACAGCAAAGTGATCCTGTTACACTATATACATTCTTTTTTATATTCTTTTCCATTATGGTTTATCATAGGATACTGAATATAGTTCCCTGGGCTATATAGTAAGACCTAGTTGTTTATCCATCCTATACATAATCCAAAAACCACTGCAGCCATGAAATAAAAAGACCCTTACTCCTTGAAAGGAAAGTTATGACAAACCTAGACAGCATATTGAAAACCAGAGATGTTACTTTGTCAACAAAGGTCCATCTAGTCAAGGCTATGGTTTTTCCAGTGGTCATGTATGGATGTGAGAGTTGGACTATAAAGAAAACTGAGCTCCAAAGAATTGATGCTTTTGAACTGTGGTGTTGGAGAAGACTCTTGAGAGTCCCTTGGACTGCAGGGAGATCCAACCAGTCCATCCTAAAGGAGATCAGTCCTGGGTGTTCATTGGAAGGACTGATGTTGAAGCTGAAACTCCAATACTTTGGCCACCTGATGTGAAGAGCTGACTCATTTGAACAGACCCTCATGCTGGGAAGGATTGAAGGTGGGAGGAGAAGGGGATGACAGAGGATGAGATGATTGGATGGCATCACCGACTCGATGGACATGAGTTTGGGTAAGCTCCGGGAGTTGGTGGTGGACAGGGAGGTCTGGTATGCTGCAGTCCATGGGGTCAAAAAGACTCAGACACGACTGAGTGACTGAACTGAACTGAACTGAACATAATAGTTTGGGCTTCCTTTGTGGCTCAGCTGGTAAAGAATCTGTCTGCCAAGTGGGAGACCTGGGTTTGATCCCTGGGTTGGGAAGATCCCCTGGAGAAGGGAAAGGCTACCCACTCCAGTGTTCTGGCCTGGAGAATTCCATGGACTATATAGGCCATGGGGTCATAAAGCATCAGACACGACGGAGTAACTTTCACAACAACAACATTATAGTATACATCTACTAATCCCAACCTCTCCTTCCATCCCTCTGGGGAGTGTTTCAAAAATTCACATGCTAGGGCCCACAGTAAGAGCTAGTGAATCAGAATGCCCAGATATAGAATCTGGAAATCTGTTTTTAATAAGCTTCCTAGTTAATTCTTTCCAGAAGAACATACCTGCTTGGCAGTACGTTCTGAAGATAGTATCTACAAGGAGCACAGTTACCTCCCTCCCCTCCTCCTTGGTATCAGGGCAGAGAGAAGATGAAAAGGAAAGGAGGAAAATCTAATTTAATCTTCAAATATAACCAGCCAATAACTAAACCAAAACAGGGAAGTCGATATGTAACCAATAGAGAAAACAGTGTCTGTCTTAATAAATACACATACCAGTTCAAGCCTGGGAATTTCTTACAAGTCACAAAAGAAATTATTGCCATTACTTCAAATCCCATCGCAAATGTGTAACCCTGTCCTGCGCAGTTACTGTGAGCAGGACACCACTCCCATGCTACGTGCCAGTAGAAGGGAAGTAAAATCCGCTATTCCCAGAATATACACAAAGAAGATGCCACTCAGCTCTTCTACTGATCTCCATAAGTGATACAGGAGTGGGATGGAGGGTAGCATCAGAATGAGTCGCCATCACTGGCATCCATACAAAAAGAGACACGGGGGATGTCATTTTCATCCCCTATCAACACTGACTACCCGTTAGAGATGTGGTACCCGTGGAACAATCAGACCGACATCCCTAAATTCACCCACACCGGGAATCCCTATTTTGAAGCAGAACAAAACATGGGTAATTGGATGCACGGGAGAAATGGCCCCCCAGCGGAGGAGGTCAGACCCCAGAGCTGGGCCCTTGTGATCCCGAGTACAGCAGATGGAATCTCCGGTGGTCTCTCCCCTTGGACTCACCCACCTCTGAGGCATGGAATCATGGGACCTCTAATCCATCACCTGCTCCCTGAACGAACTCCCAAAAAGGGTCATCCAGCTACTGCTCAAAAGTTTTCAGGGTTTGTGACTTCAACAAGACGGTCCGCCCGGTCTTCCTGTTCTTAACTTTTGACCACAGTGTGGCATGACTTCCGGATGTACAATCTTTTTAAAAGAAATGTATCACTGGAGTACAGTTGCTTCACAATGTTCTACTGGTTTCTAATGTGCCGCACAGTGAATCAGCTATATGTATCCATCTATCCCCCATTTCTTAGATTTCCTCCCCATTTAGGTCACCACAGAGCCCTTAGTAGAGTTCCCTGTGCTAGACAGTAGGTTCTCATTAGTCATCTATTTTAAACATAGTATCAATAGTGTATGTATGTAAATCCAACTCTCCCAGTTCATTCCACCTCACTTCCCCCACTTAGTATCTACACATTTGTCCTTTACATCTATGTCTCTATTTTTGGTTTGAAGATATAATCATCTGTACCAATTTTTGCAGATTCCACATATATGCATAAATATACGACACTTGTTTTTCTCTTTCTGACTAGTAATTTACATTCCCAGGAATTCGCATCACCCCAGGGACCCTTCCTCCTCTGTGGACAGCAGCCAAGGCTTTGGCACACCCTTTGCCTCAGGGAAGGGATGACAGAACAGGATTCAAACTATACCTTTGAAGTTTCAAAAGCCAGCATCTAAGCTAGGAGACAAAGAATGTGAGATTGGTCCAAGCCAATTCACCCCACCATGAATACATAAATAAATTTTCTTAAACAGAGGAAACTATGAGTCTTAAACAAAATGTAGATGCTCAGAGAGAGTCCTGAGCAGGGAATCCCACCTGGGCCAATTCTGAGGGATGATGAGAGGCCTCCTGGAACAGCATGAGAGCAGAAAGTCATTTGTCCCCCACTCCCCGCCCCCCGCCATCCCAACTCACTCCATCCCAGTGATAGAGCCCCGGGCGGAGGGGGGGGCTCTATTCATCCCCCATCCTGCCATCCACCCTGGGCCCAGAAAGATCCCCAAGATCTTGCCAACTCCTGCCACTGCAGAAGGAGATGTAGAAGTGATGGGTGCGGGCTGATAACCTTGCAAAATTTTTCAGTCCAAAGAGCAGTGGGGTTTCTCCATCCAGCCACAGTGATAGGAATATGGCACAGGCAAGCAGGAAACACCATGATGCCTTGTGGTGGAAGGCATCAAGGAAGACACTGGAGAGAGCCACTTG